TCCTATGAAGCACCTTTTGCAGTTTGCAACTGCTAGAAAAGTGACTGAACCCATAAAACTGGCCAATGACAATTGTTTTTCTCACTGCATGGATAACACACCACAATCACAGATTTCTGCAGCACATGCACGCCTGTTCCCATGGCTGGGCCGGGTCCAGGAGTGGTGAAACAAAGGCAGCTGGTAACAGTTCCAACTGGCCAAGGGAAAACCTGCAGAAGAGGAAACCTCCTGAGAAGACCCAGAGTCAGGAGATTTGCAGGGAGATAATCCAGCCCAACTCTCAGTGACCTTTCTGAGGGAACTGAAAACGTCTGGCTGCTTGTCAAAACTGAACATCCAAGCCTGCTGCTGAAGGAAACCCACAGCAAGAGATAGCCAAAGCAATATCAAAGGCCCAAGATCCACGAGATGTAAGGAATGGGGTTGTTTTGGGAATAGCCTTTTCTGCACTGCACGCTCTGTGCTGCTCCTTAATTGTCTGCAGGCACACCAGTTCCTGCCCTGCCCTAATCAGGAGAACACAATCTGTGCTGCCTCAAACACACGAGCCCCTTTTGGACATCTCTTGATGGGCTAAAACTGAGCCAAAATGTCAAACTATCACAGGAGAGACCGAAGGGAGAATTGCCAATATTCAGACAGAGCAGTTCTTCCATCAATCACCCTCTTGACTCTCTCTATTACAGTCACAACCTCCACCTTCCAAAATGATTTCATACCATTGAACACGAGCAGGGCTATCAAAATCCATCTCCCAGCCCTTCTAGTCCATAATCTACACCAGGTCTGACCATTCCCAGCAGCATTTTAACCGGTGAACCAACATACCCAGCCCCTGGATTTGGGATGCAGTGAATCAACAGTATAGACACCTCTGGGAGAACATCCAGGGCTGGGAGAGAGAGCTGAGGAAGGTAGACAAGGTGGAAAGCTCGCTGGAAGAGCAGCAGGGTTTGGGGACACAGCAGTCTGAATTTCTGTACCGGTGTCAGGTGAGCGGAGTTGCCCTGAACTCCGGGGTGAGTGACACGACCAAACGACACCAACACCTCAGCAGCCAAGTGGCAACTGCTACAACCCCCTCCTGGCTGTCACCCCCTGCACCCAACCTCCTGCAGAGCAGCAAACCTGTGCTCAGAGGACCCTCCAAAGCCCCACTGTGAGCCATGAATACAAATGCTTCGGGAACCTGACTCGTCTCAGCCACCCCAGGCCCAGCTGGCTTTAATTTCTCTCGCTATTCAAAAATGAACCACTTGAATTTGTAATTTTCAGTCCTAACAAAAGGCTCTATATTTTGGGGCTGGCGTGGAGGGAGTAGGGGAAATGTGCCTCACCCTCAGCTACTGCAGAATTGACCAGCACAGAAGTCAGGGTTAAGGGAACCTCAGCTGAGAAGCAAGGCCAGCGTCCCCTGCATCAGCCACTGTACAACCTCATTCCCTGGATGAGAGTCCATCACAGGCTTCCATGGCAAATCTTTCCCCACAGTTCTTTTCTCAGAGGCCAGCACTATCCTGCTTCAGATCAGGGGCTCTCTAAATTATCTTAATGAGATAATCTTAGATTTTTGCCTGAGATTGCAAAAAATATTCCATCTGCTCATTTTTGTTACAGCCCATTGAAACCAGTCACAGGGATTTACCCAGTCCAAAGGAAAGAGATATTTTCTAGTGTTAATGTAAGTAAGTGGGACACACAGTGTCAGGACAACATGGAAATTGTGCCATGCTCCTAAAAAATTGACTGAAGATGGAGACAGTGTGGCTGCAAAGCCTGACAGAGCCGTGGCCCCTCTCAGCACTCCCCAACAAGCAGCTGCCCCAGACACACACACAGGCACCCTGGGGAAACAGGGACAGAGCTCCCAGTGCTCTCCTCTGCCATCCTTCCTCAGTGTGACTCCAGGGAACTGCCATCTGAAGGAATTCACCAACACCTCCGGTAGCCCCTGCTGCCGAGGGAAACCCAGCTGGACTTTCCCACTGACACCCCCTCCTTTGCGCAATTCCCGGCTCTCCCTTCCCAGGGCCGCCTCATCCAAACCTCCTTGGCACGACCCAAGCTGGTCTTCTCTCCCCAGGGGAAGAAAGAGCTGAGTGTGGAGGCAATTTGTCCCTCAGAGCGTAGATCACTCCTCCAGTCAACACGTGCATGCGGCCAGGGCTCCCTGTGCCGCTTTCCGGAGCCGTGGATGCTGTCCAGAGCCCTCTGCTCAGTGTCCCCGACAAGATGGCCATCAAAGCTGGGTTAGGGGTCACTCACCCACAGCCATTAGCACTCCAGAGTGATTGATTAGCAGCATGTGTGGTCTCAATCAAGAGCCGGTAATGAGCTGCATTCATTAATCCCATTTATATGTTTGCATAGGCCAGTCTTGGATTTCAGGGAATAAAAAAGGCTTCATACTGAGATCCGCACATTGCACTGCCTGGCAAGGGTAAGGAATCCCAGAGTGGATCGAGGATTTCCACCTAATTCAGTATTTTGGGAGTTTCAGCTCCGGTGTTTCTAGCTACCAAGCACAGTGGCTCCACAGCACGACCTGCACCCCTCCCAGCAGCACCCAGTCTGTGCCACAGTTTTATCTGCACTCACTTATTTCATGTTTTCCTTCCACTTTTAAAGTAGCTTTTCAAGGACACAGCTAATCCAGTGTTACACCCACTCCAGGTTTCTGCTCCTATTTAGGCCATTATAGGTTCTCTGTTATTTTGTGTTTGATAACCCCCTTTTTTCCTTCTTATCACCTACATGTTCTGAATATGCCACCACCACCTCTGGCTGCCCTGTCTTCCTCAAGCCATTCCCTCTGATAACCTTCTGCAGAGAGCCCCATCAGCAAGTAACTTGACTCCACGGCCTACCCTCACATCCCTTTGGAATGGGCCAGGTTCCTCTCACCAGCAGTAAAGCCATCCTTGACTCCCTCTCCACCCCAAAGGTCCCCTGGAGGAGTTATAAAAATAAAGGGTGAAATTCTGGCTCTGTTGGAGTCAACGGGAATGACGCCACCGACTTTACCAAAGCCAGGCCTGAGCTCAGCGCTCAGAGCTCCAGTACAATTCCCCACAATTCCCGGGGTTTCACACAGGAGGATGAGAGGCTTTGCAGCTTCACCACTTCTGGAAGCACTCCAGAGTCTCAGTGAGGACACCTTCAACTCGTTTAACTGCCAGAGAACATTCACACTGATAAACTCACCCACCAGAGCAGCAGAAATGGGTCAGAACTCAGATCCCCTGAAAAACACTCTCAGTTTGAACCAGCTCACTCTCAGTTATAAACCATTTATCTGAGGAGATGCTGGGAACTGCACTCCCCTCAGATAGCTCAAGGAATCAGTTAATTGTATGGTTGGCTGTCCAGAACCTGTCACAGCTTTTCCCAGCAGAAGTTCAGTACACAATGGAAAAAACAAAGTTCCTTCAAAAAGTTAAGTGGGGCTTTTTTCCTTTTTTTTTTTTTTTTTTTTCTGGTAGGAAGGTATTAGTTGGTTAAAAATAGATTTGAATAATAAATGCCTGTAAGTGTTCCCAGGCCCCTTTTTTGTAGAAATGTTTTTAGCATTTCATGTGGGAAAAAAAATATGTAGTAGTGTGAGGTAATGATATTTAGCCCCTCTGGTGCAAAGCAACAGCAAGTATGTTAAAGGGGACCAGCAGATAATTGTTTCAACAATTCAAAAACCTTACAACTACACACTGAAAACTAAAATAAACAAGGTGAGAGTGGTACAGACTACACAGTAAATTAAAAAACCTTTCTATTTCTTTTGCAAATCCCTAAAGACCAGTGCACAGCTCTCCTTCCATGGGATGCCACAGCTGGTGCTGGAAGCAATGGGTTGGGGTTGGAAAATGCCACGGCCAGCACTTAATATCCTTATTTCACAGCCATGATCCACAAGAAGGAATTCTTTATTTCTTCAAAGGAAAGACCACCTGTGCTGAACACTCTGGGGCTGACAGCAGAGAACTGGGAGATGCCTGGGCCATGCCCAAGGGGTGCCAGGACGGAAAAGGACTGTGGGAGGAGAAGGAGCAAAAGGAATCATTCCCTCCTGGGAATGCCACCCCTAATGATGTCTAAAAAGGCAGGATCAGACAGAGACACGATCCCCAGAGTTTCTCACAGGGCAGGAAAGAAACTGGGAAGATGCAGAGCTGCAGAAGCAAACCTTGCTGCAGGAGGGTGTTGCTCGTGTCCTGTGTGACCCTCCCAGTCCCACGCATTAATTCAGCAGGTACAGGTGAGTACACAAATAAACAAGCACTTCCAAACATACACCCTTATGTCACGAACCCAGGGAAACTAAAGGAGCTGTACCCTCCCCCTGGCCCTAAGCTCCCACATAGGAGCTGCTGATGACAATAATTGTGTGGCAGATCCCAGGATTCCAGAGCTGTGCACATTCCATGCCTTGGGAAAGAACTGGCAATTCCCCAGCTGCCCCACACCAGATTAGTATAACATTTACTCTGCCTTTAAACATTTAAGAGCTGTGATGATTTAGTGCTGCATTTATTGGCAGGTGAGCAAATAAGGGAAGGGCAAAAATTCATAGACAGCCCTTCCTTGGAAATAGGAAAAAGATGGAGCCACCAAAACCCATATTCCCGACCTCTGTAGCTTCAGTGTCACCCTAAACCCACCAGTCTGCAGCTGAAAGGATCCTGATTCATTAGAGATGACCAAAAGGAAGTTTCTTTGATGTTCCCAACCAATCGGGGGGGGTTATGCTAAAATAATAATAATGCAAATCAGTAAGGATCTTCCTGAAACAAATCTCTCATCATCTTCAATTGCTGTGCTTGGGTGCCCATCCCAAAGCAGGTTCAGGGCACAGGACTTGAATTCTTTCTCATGAAACCCCTTTTTTTCCTAAACAAAAAAGTCAGGAATCTTCTGTTCCTCAAAGCACCGAGATACAAGAAAATTAAATATAAATGAAGGTCTTGAGTTATGGATTGTATCAAATGGTTCCTACAACTTACATTGCTGTTCTTCAGGGTTCAAAGAATTCCAGCAGGACCCGGTGGAAATGAGTCTAGTTTCATCCCCAGAGTCTACAGAATGTATAAGGCTGCAAAGAAAAGCATTTTGGTTAATAATAAAAAGGCACAAAAGGGCAAGACAAGCTCCCAGCTACACACTGATTTTCCAAGTCCTGACTAAAAGGTGTTGGAATTCTATGGTATACAAATATTCTAGATAGAGGTTTGGGATTCTGAAGCAATTTTCATTCCACATTGGAATTAATTTTTGGTTTAAAATATTCACAAAACATTTGTTATAAAAGTTAAATGTTAACATAAAACATTTACTATTTTCAAAAACATGGAAGGATGTTACTTTTTTGTCCTTTCTCATTGTTTCAAATCATGTCTAACATCACTGTTGCTGATTGTATCTTTCCTGGTTTTCTATTTCAGCTTTTCCCTATTTTGTTTTGGGGGTTTCAGTTGTGCATTTTTTTAAAGTTTCCTAGACTGTCTTTCATCTTCTGCAACTTCTTAGCACCCTTGTTCTATTGCATCCAGTATCAATAAAGGACAAAAAGAGGCAGAACAAAAATATCAAAAATCCCAGAAGATTAACATCTCTATTTTTAATGAAAAAGCAAGCAAAGTGTCATTTATGATGTAGCAAGAAGGTTGTCTTTCATCACAAGTGTTTTGAAGAGGAGATGTGAACAAGATATACCGACAATACTTAATTTTATCTGACTTTACTGAGCTGGTTTTATCTCACTCTGGTGAGCATCGTGCTTAACATATCAGAAGAAAACAGTCTGTTCAAGAACTATTTGTAGCAGTGGAATTAAACTGGAGATAATAACAACAATAATAATTACAGAAGGTGTTTCTACAGACTTATTTACCTGTAAAAACCATAGCACTAAATTAAGCTTTTTCTCCCCTTTGATGACACTGAGGACACATTTCAACTGAATTAATAAGAATTTGGAGAAGAAAGTTGTAGCAGGGCATTGACCTGGTATGAAAAGGCAGAAGTAAAACATAAGGATCGTGTTTACCCTGGATGAGTTTCCTGTCGACACTGTTTATTATTGAGCAATAAACACACTTGGATTGTAGAGATATATCTTCAGAGGAGGTATTAAGAACCAAACAGTTTCTGTAAATCTTCTGAGTGGGATTAACATTCGGATTTAAACAAGGTTCCACACATGACACGCATTTGATCACTTAACAGGTCCGTGTCCAAAATATTCCTGGCTGCAGATGTGCACTCAGGATCTGATTCCTCCACTCTACTTGGCCAAAGTGCTGAGATCTGGTCTTATTTTAACTAAACACATCCTAAGTTATTTTTCTATGCGTCTCTCAGGCCTCATTCTCACTGAGATGAATTTCTGCCGTGGGATGGGCTGGAAATGTTCCTCTCTTCCACCTCCCCTCATTTATCCCACTCGGTGGCATTGTCTGATAACAGTGCTGGGGACACCCTCAGTCCCTCATGCAAGATATAAACAAATGGGAGATGAAGAGAAGGCATCACCAAAGCCTTGTCCCAGCACTGCTGGACAAGGGGTTGGAGCCCTGGGGGGATTTAGTGGAGTTGGGGTTGGATAACTTTGCTCCTTCAGCACAAAGGGAGCTCCCCACAAAGCCTCATTCCTTGGCATCAGCACACAGGCCTGATCTGCCACAGCCTGGAGCAGGGAATGATCTAAGGAGTATTTCTCCAGGTTGCTCATTCTATTTGCTCAGGGTCACTCTGAAACCAAAATGTTTCTGTTTGCTTGTTGAAAAGTGAACGTGGGGGAAAAGGCATTTCAGACTGACAGAAATGTCCCTTCATGTTCACAAATGGCAAGTGGGTTTTTCTACTTCTTTACTTTCAGAATTTTATTTTATTATTAAGTGTAATTGAACCTGATCTCAGAACCCCATTTCAAAACAAAGCCTGAACGCTTCACATAAAACCTGCTGAAGTGACAATTTTGACTTCACTCTTCCTTCCAGGGTGGGAAAGTTTGGTTCAGATTGTTTGGTGAGTTGGATGAGGTTGGCTGCAAACAGTTTGAGCTGAACTGAGTCTTATTTTTCAGCAAATGACCCAGGGGAGCAACTGTTTGTTTTACCTACTGTAACAATAATGTTGGCCATTTCATCGTTGGTTTTTCTGTCAATAGCTGATTAGACATAACAAATTTAAGACACGACAGACCAGCACTGCTTTGAGGAGGGCTTTGGAGTGTGGAGGGTGCTAATGAGAGCTCTAAATGCTAATTAACCCCTCCGTGGTGTTGTGTTTATCCCAGCCCAGGGTCCCACCGGTGCCCAACTGGGATTTCTATCCTGAGGGAGCCTGGCTCCGGGTCCTCACTCTCTGTGACCACTATCGGTTACAGTGCCCAGATAGCAGAGAAGTGGGCCCTTCAAAGCAGCTACACATGTAGGAACAGTCTGCAGCAAGTGTGTGGATGCAGCCAACCTTCTCCCACTCCTCAGAAAGTCAATGTTCAGAGCAAACCCCTCCTCTGAGCTGTCAACACGCGCAGCCTCTCCGCTCACCCTTCCGAGATTCCGGGGCTGGCAGGAGGTGATGGGAATTGAACTCTGGCTCTCAGGAGCACCTGGCTTTGTTATCTCTAAGGGCCCGGGAAGATTTCAGGCCGTATCAGCCCATGCCATGTCCTGACACTTGACTCACAAAGTGGCCCTGGTGTTGGCTCACCTCCAGGCTGAGATAGCGACTGTCAGCAGCGAGGTGAGAAGGAATGGGAGCGGAGCAGGAGCACAGATCCCACTGCTTCTTGTAGGAAAGCACCACATCCCAGATTGCTGAGGAGTCCTCTCTCTTCTGACTCCCTCTGAACATCAAGATCTTCACTGCAGAGAGTCCAGGAGGTTTTGTTCACACAGGTTTTATCTCCATCAGTGTGGTGGCCACAGGGGGGAAAAAGAAAAAAAAGGAAAAAAAAATATTGATCAATACAAAAAAAAATCCTGATGGATTTCGGGCCAAGACTCCAGGTGGATCCCAGAAACACTGCTTGACATGTCTCAAATACCACTGAAAGCAGGGAAGTTGCCCAGTTTCCGTGCATTTGACTCTTCTTTCACAAGTATCCTTCCTATGCAAAGATCTATTCTGTATTTACTATTGAGAACAAAGAGAGTGAAATCCCATAACCCCGCACAAAACAACAAATCCCAAGAGATAATTTGATTTGAATACCCCTGAGCAGAAGCTGGAGCCTGATGCTAATAGCAGGACATCTCTCTGGGAACAGATCCCAGGCCCTAACCTGCTGCTGTCCCCGGGGATGATCCATGCCCGTGTTATGTGCATAAGACAGATGCAGGAATGCCCCAGGAAGGAGGAGATACTGCTCTCCACAAGAGACCAGATAACAGTGGAGAAAGCAGCTGCTTTAGAGAAACTTCACTGCCTCTAAAGCATTCACAACTGTAGAGGCATTTAGTGTTTGCTCTTTTATCAGTGCAGCTGCAAGTGATAATTCAACCTCCAAGTGGTCTGTGCTTTTGTTCTGTCTGAATTGAAAAACGCCCCAACAGAAATCCTTGCATTGTATCAGGATTATGTGCTTGGAAAGAACTCAACAAATTGCATTTAGGATGATCAAAATGATCCATTTTCCTCACAGTGTTGCTGGTGGGCAAAGGTTTGAAAACCAAATTTTACCGCTATCAATGTTACTGCCCGATGTAAGAGAGGTGATAGAGCTTTATCAGGCAAATTCCAAGACAGATGGACCCAAAAGACAGTTATCTTTATTATCCTCATCTTGCAAACAGCAGTTGCCAGTGTCACACACTGACACTTCACTAGACATCCTAAGCATCTTTATCATCTCAATATCCCAAAATAGAATGCCTTGTGCATACTGACTTCTCCACAAGACTAGCCTTGCAAATGCTGTTTCTCCCGTACCAAAAATAAAGTAAAATAATAATTATAATATTACTATTCTTCCAAACTTCCGAACCACTGCACCATGAACGTTGTCTCTCTCACAGCCTCACTCCTTGTAGCCTCCCAGTGTCTTACAGTGCAGTAAGACAATAAGCAGCTCCAGGTTTGAGACAGAGATTAAAGCCCAGCTTCCTGTATATTCAGGAACCTCATTCCCACTAAAAACTGAGCTTTTATCCCAGTCTGAATGAAATCTCATTTTTGTGGTTGAGGTACCAGTGTGTATGTTGAGCCCAGAGCTGTCTCTGCAGAAATCCCCAGCACAACAGAGGGCTGGTACTGCAGCCCCTGATGGAGTGACCCAAACCCACTGCCCACCCCACCAAAACAGCCTGGCTTGTGTTAGGGACCTGTATTTAGACAGGGATCTGAATCCATGGAGAGACTCAGCAGGAAAAACATACCAGCACACGCTGCTACTGGATGCTCCCCGTTTCCCAAACAACCATTTCCCCCAGCAGGGATGTTGATTTAAACCGTTCATGCCAAGGTGGGTGCAGGATAAGGTTATGTGATTCTTGGAGCCACCATGCCAGGTCATGAATGATGGAGTAATGAAAAGAAAATTCCATGCTCATTGCACGGCAAATAAAGGCAGGATTGTGGAACCACTGGCTGCCTGCTGAGCTCTGCCTTGGGGTGGGCACTGATCTGCAGGAGGATGGAGAGAGATGGTTGGGAGAGAACATCATAAGCCAAGGTTTTGATGGAAGTCACACTAAAGAGTCACCTGTTATGCAGAGTTAAGATTATTTAGATTCTGCAATTGCTCATATTACCATGTCCAGAGGATTTCTTTCAGGACAACATTATTTCCAATCTCCCAGGCTTCCAGTGTTTTTCCTAGGGATAATCCCTACAACGTGAGGTTTTTTCAATACACACGCTGAACAAACTCTTTATATGTGGAATATATAAGTTTTTATATAAACTTCCTAAAAAACCCAAAACCCTTCAGTTTCAGCTTGGCCTTTAAAGAAGTGCAAAAGTTCTGGTGTGTTTTTAAAAGCAGAGCATTAGAAAGGACTGATTTTTTTTTTCCCCCCCTGTTTTAACTGACCCCAGACTGTAACCTCAGACAAGAGAAAGTAAACTAATTACAACGTATATCCAGAGCCTGCACTGCCTCAGCATCACTGACCCAACATTCTCACATTGCTCCTTCTTTTCCACACTTCCCAAAATTCATTTCAGTGAATCAAAGATGCTCCCAGCCCGGATCATGGGCCACCTTTTGGAACAGCAGCCACCAGCTCAGCACAGCTCTGGGTATCTCTTGCCTTTGCCAAACAAGCATTTTCATGACAAAAGTCAAGAAATAAATACCAATTTCAAGAAGTTCCTGAAACCTCTATTTAAAGTGCCTTCAGCTGTAAGTTCAAGGAAGGCAATGCCTTTGTGACAGCACAGCTGTGGAATAAAAAGGTTCCCAGGGCCTCCTGGTTGGACTGACTCCTGGGCTTTAGAATTATATGAATATGGGCTTAAGACCACCCAAATTCTTCTTTCTTTTTTTTTTTTTTCCTTTCTGAGAGGGGGGGAAAGAAAGAGAAGGTGGACACACAGGGGGGAAAGGGCCCATCCCCGTCACGTGTGACGACTGTAGTTTTACAGTACCAGTGATGTGACAGGCAGCATTGAGCCCTGACAGCAGCTGTATTTACACTACAGCCTAACAGGGAACGCTCACTGGAGGGGCTGGAACATGCACTGCAGGATACAGCGGCCTTTGCAGAGATGCTTTAACCACATGTGCCAAATCCAGTTGCAGGAATTTAATTCCCTGCCAAAGCACAGCCAGGGGGGAGCTGACTTTTGTCTCTCGCTTAGTGAGTACGGGGCTGGTTTTGCACCTAAATCTCAACCCTCCACCAGGAAACATTCCCACAGGAGTAGGAGATGTTCTTCTCGAGAGCCAGTGTTCCTCTGAGGATGAAGCCCCCAGCTCTCCACTGACAATGCAGTGAGGGCAGGGAGCCCAGACAAGCACCTGAGGGGTAGGGGCTGTGCCCCCCCAGATCCAGGCTCAAAGCAATCCACTGGGACCGGGTCTCTTCAAACTGAAACTCATTATACAGCCTTTTGACAACATTTCTTTGTTTTCTAATTGATTCAGGCTTTCTTAGGCTGATCTCTCAATGCAGAGTCTAAACAAAGAGAAACCTAATCAAATACTTGCTTTTTCAGCAGGGAAAACGAAAACCATGCACATTGCTCTGTCTTAGGCTGTAGTTTTCCTGGGCTGCTCCCATCTTTACTTATTGTTCTTCCTTCACACCACAAGTTCTTGGATGGCAAAGAAAAATAGCCCAAGTCTTCACGAACAAGATCTGGCTGAGAAATCAAATTAAAAATGGCAATCCCATTTGCGGCAGTGAAGGCAGCTGAAATAGTCCACGTTTTTATTTACACCACTTCAGGTAGCGAGTAGCTCAGAGTCCTCTTTGCATATTCCCAAGTCCCATTAATTCCTTTATTACTACCTGCTTTTAATCACCTGCCAAAAGCAGGTGCTTTATACTTCCCTGGATAACAGATGGAACATGGAGTCTGTGATGCAAGACCCGAGATACGGTGGGCAGGAGGGACAGGTTGGAGGAGAAGGGAGAGAGGAAGAGAGGACAAAGTTCAAAGCCATGGGAAGATTTAGTGTAAACTTGTCACGGGGGAGGCTCCAGCAGACACATCTCAGTAGCAGGAAACCCAAACCACGACATGTTTGGACAGAAGTTTTCAGCACAGGAAGTGCTCCAGTCTGCAGGGCCTGAGCAAAGGCACTGGGGCAGGCAGGGTAGGAATGTGCAGCAACCTCTGCTCAGGGCTGTCCTCTGACACAAGCTGAGGCACTGCAGGTCAGTCCCACACCGAGCTCGCAGATGTAGAATAGAGAATGATACAGAATCACAGAATGGGGTGGGTTGGAAGGGACCTTGGAGATCACCTGGTTCCAACCCCCTGCCGTGGGCAGAGACACATTGCACAAACCAGGTTGCTCAGTGCCCCATCCAGCCTGGCTATCTTGCTCCCTGTCTTCCACAGCATTCACTCTGAAGAACCTGTGGAAGCTTTTTCCCTCATTCATCCATACACTTGTCCTGGCTTAGGCACCTTTGTGTAATCAAACCTTGCACTCCTGGTCAAAATGGCCCAGTTGTGATTTCACACACAGAATTAGCAAAATCCCTCCATTCCCAAGAGCCATTCCTTCCCCCCATCTCCCCTCATTTAGGAGGGGTTGGCTGAGCAGAAGGCAGCAGGACAACTCCAGCTGACCCAGGATCCTCCAGACAACAGGAACAGTGTCCCAGCAATCCTGTCCCCATCCTCTCCCTCTGGACAAACATTCCCACAGGCTGTAACCCCGGGAAGGGCTCAGGGGGCAGAGCAGGGAACCTGCAGCAGCTCAGCCCCTGACGTAGGTAGATCACCATCCCGGTGCCAGGAAGAACCATTTCAGGGACTCCTTTCCACAATATTGGGAATTCCTGCAAAACTCCCGTTTCTGACGTGCTGCTCTGATGTGAAATATCGCCGGTGTTTGCAAAGAAGCGATTATGAATGACTAACCAGCCCTGCATATATTTCAAGAAAACTTGGAAACAGCCTTGTTATTTTTGGAAACACGGGCGCTTGTTCAGGGCGAGCTGGCAAGGGGGAATTACTGTGCGAAGTTACCTAAGGAACAGAGAGGCTGCAGTGCCACCTACTGCCTCACTCCGGCCTCTGAGTTTGGATTCCACGACACACACGGAGACACAAAGTGACACCCTGGAGCAGCCCCAAGCTCAGAGAGTCAGCCAGACCTGAGCACGACCCACCGCAGGTTCCTCAGCAGAAGGTGCAAGGTCACTGCCCCAGACAGCGATGGGAGAGCCAATC